TCCCTAGAAGCTTCTTAAATAAGGCCTGTGTGCACAGTTCTTGCAGCTAAATTCCCATTATTACACAGAAGCCATGATGATGTGATAAGGGTGTGTGTGTGTGTGTGTGTGTCTGTGTGTTGGGGATATCCTGGAGTCCTATGATTAGATTTTAGTCTTTTAGTTACCTATACTCCTGAGCACCTTTATAAGTGCTTCTCAGTGCCTATCTCTCTTGTTCTAGGTCACCCAGGCTCTGACAAAGGCCCACAGCCTACAATGGAATGGCTGGCAAAGGTGGGGTGGAAGTTGACAATGGAGTCCTTTAGTATTTTCTGTGTAGTGACACTGATTACCACTTACTTTGCTGCTGATGAGGTCTTAGAACTACTTCACTGTAAATGTCATTCTGAACTTTTGAAAATTTAAACCAAAATAAGGATAAGGAAAGTCTTAGAGTGTTCAGATAAAAACAGGTGCGCTAACAGGAGAGATACAGGCAAGAGTAGGGAATGAAGTGGCAGGCAGAACACAAAGGAGATGCCCTGGTAACCACATTTAATGGCACTGGGTTATTTTCGCAACAGGTGTGATGCACAACCTTACTCTGGGAACAAGGAATCTGGCCAGAATCCTTTTCTTGCCATCCCCAGAATCTGTAGGATGGCAAGAAAAGGCACATGGGCTACCTGTATTGAAAGGTCAGGGGTCATGTCCCAGAAAAATGAGGAACTTTTGATGAAAATAGCCTCTAGGAACAGACACCTGAAGGCACTATCATATTTGAAGAAATGCTGTATTTGAAATATACTTACAGTCCCTTGTAAGATGAATTTAGGGTAAACTCTAAGAGGTCATTTTGCTCTAACATTCTAGGTGATATGATTTCCAGCAGCAAACCTTCCTCAGATGCAGTAACTTCTTTCCTATATTTAACTTGGAAGAGGGGTTAAATTAAAAATCACGGGATAGGATTCAATCTGTGTGATTACATTTTTATGACCTTGAGAAACCAAGGCTTTCATTTTACTTAGTTTAAAAGGCAGCATTCCATTCTGCTTTCAGTCACACTCCAGGAGAGAGAGAACAAAGCAACTTTGTGAGCACTTTGTTCAGGCTTGAAGAAAGCACACAGCACTTCATCAGCCTATTTGAGACTGGGAGGCACAAAAATCAATGTGGATGGAGCAAAAGGCCAAATTGCCACCGCTTAGTTTTCCTTTCTTTTTTCTTTTTTTAATTAAAGAATCTAATTTGCTTCTTGAGCTTCCTTATTTAGCTCTATAAAATATTATCCTTGATGCTACTCCAGCTATCTTCGCAGGAGTGAGCTGCTGAGAGACAACAGCAGATAGCAACCTGGAACGCAACTCTGGACCACAATGGCCAAGTTCAAGGCACAATGAGCCACCTCATGAGTCGGAGCATGTTACCCCACTTCCATACTTCAACTTCCTCTTCTGTAAAGTGGTAAAGGTTCAGTGCTATACTAGTTAGAGCCTGACACAGAGCCAGTGCTACCACAGGGCATATTACCACTAGGGCTGGGTTGGGTAGAAGGAGAGAAGAAATTAAGAGCATGAATTCTGCCACAAGACCATCAGTCTGAGCCAGCTTTTTCACCTGGGAAGGTTGTTTCATCTTTCCAAACACCACTCAGAACACGACCTGCATCTGTAGCACAGCCTGTACTTCCTTGCAGCTTTTCACTTTGCTGGTTCCTTCTGACGCTCTTGCCCTTGAACATGTGTAGTCCAGCCTTGGGCCATTTTCCTAGTTCTGGTTACTCTCTAGTGACCTCAGAGTGCCGACATCTCCCTGCACTTCCTTCCCCATCTGTGGCACTCACCTCCCCACAGTGGAAGCACCAGCCACGCTTCCATGGCACAGAATATGCCCTGTGGCTCCCTCTGCCAGCTATGCTATTCTTCCAGACGTATCTCATCTGACTCCCAGATACGGAAGAGCCACTGAGAAGTAAATGGCAAAGCACAGAGCAGTCTCTGTGGACAGAGAAGGGAGTGGCATGGTGTAATGAGGCACTGCCCTCACTTCTTCAGGCCTCCACTCAAATTCCATCTTAAGAAAGAGACTTTCCCTATCTTACAATAAGTCACACCCATACCTTCTCTCTCCTGTAACTGTTCTTCACCATCACACTTTTTGCATGATTGCTTATTGCCTAGATATGAACACAATCACAAGCACCATTAGAGCAGGACCGGTGCAGATGCTCAACACTTACTGTTAGGTGAATGCTCTCCTTCCCTCCTTATCTGTAGATTCCTAACAAATTACCCCCAAAACCTAGCATCTTCAAGCAACAGCCAAGGTATTATAGCTCATGATGCTGTAAATCAGGACATCAGGCAGGGCTTGCTTGGCGATGCCTGTGTTTCACATGTTATCAGGAGAGATCACTTGGTGATAGTGGTGGACAGACTTTTCTGGGGAGTTCAAGAAGGCTGCACTTACTTGGTGGGCTCCTTGGTAGGGATGGCTACAGGGAAGAGGCTTGGCGGGGATGACAGGCCAGGCACCTACATGTAACTTCTTCAGCAGCCTCAGAACAGCCAGCCTTCTTATATAGGTGCTTCTGTGAGTGTTCCAGCAAATAGGGTAAAAATAGCATGGCCTTTTGTAACTCAACCTCAGAAGTCATGTGGCATCAATTCCACCATGCTCTATGTATTGGAAGCAGTCATAAGCCCACCAAGATTCAAAGGAAGGACAAGAGGAATGCTGAAGAATTTGGAGCCACATTTTATTTGTTTTTTTTTTTTTTTTTTTTGGTTTTTCTCCGGTACCAGAAACCGAACTCACGACCTTGCGCTTGCCAGGCAGGCGCTTTTGCCGCTGAGCTAAATCCCCAGCCCTGGAGCCACATTTTAAACTGTCATAATCTCACAGTTCGAGGAACAGAACTTTGTGACTAGCAGGTGTTCAGAAAACTTTGGTTGAATCCAAATGGAAATATATCATAATGTTTTTAATTATGGTACTATAATTGGAAGGAAAAAAAACAGCTTAATTCTTTAACATGTGGGCTTAGAAAGAACAATTAATTTTATTTATTTATGTATTTTGGTTGTGGTTTTTTTTTACAGTACATTACTTTTTTTTACTATAAAGTACCGGGAATCAAACGCATGACCTTGTGCTTGCCAGGCAGGCGCTGTGCCACTGAGCTACATCCCCAGCCCCAGAACAATTAATTTTAAATGACCTATATAACTCAAACTCAAAAAAAAAAGAAAACATCAAACTCACCAGAACATGCCAAACCCAAAGACTGGACACAGTTAAGAGAAGAATCATTAGCCGGGCACACAGCCTGTAGTCCCAGCTACTCAGGAGGCTGAGGTCCCTTGACCCTCGTTGGGCCCAAGCATTTAGGGACCAGCCGGGACAATGTAGCAAGAGCACGGGAGAGAAAGACAGAGAAAGAGAGAAAGACAGAGACAGAGACAGAGAGAAGCAAAAGAATAAGAAGGAGAAAGAGGAAAAGCAGCAGCAGCAGGGGACAAGGAAAAGAAGAAGAAATAGTAGTATAAGAAAAAAAGCAGAAGAAAAGAGAATCAATGACTTGAAGATGCTGTCAATATAAACCTCTCAAACTGAAGTGTAAAGAGAAAGAGGGAAAACATGGAATAGAATATCCCAGAACTATGGGACTATAAAGGATATAACATACATATAATGGGAATACTGGAAAGAACAAAAAGAGAAAGGAGCAGAAGAAGCATTTGAAGCAGTAATTAATTACAGACCCAAAACCATAATCAGGAAAGCTCAGAGCATACCAGGCATAAATAAGCAAAACTGTATACCTAGGAATATCATAAAAATCCTTAATGTGTACATCCCCAACAGGGCCATCAAAACACACAGGCATAAACAAGCAGACCTGTAGAAAGGTAGACAAATCCACCATTATAGATGTAGATTTGAACATATCTCTATCAGTAACTGACAGATCCAGTAAGCAAGCAGTAATGAAACAGGTCCATTGATCAATTAGATCCAAGCAACACAGAATACTTCATCCAACAATACAAAACGCTGTTTCTTCTCAACTTCATATGGAGCATGTACAAGGTGGTGCACATTCAATGCTACCAGGGATGCTGGAAGGACGCTGACCAGCCACCAAGTAACTGCAGACTGTGCGGGCACACAGGTCAGGGAGGCGGGCTGTAAGGAGGGCTCTGGCCCAAAGACCACTGTGCCACTTCTGTGTCCTGCCCTTCGTTTCTTCATTTGTAAAATGTGAATCTACCTGAGGATCTTCACTTCCTTCTTCCCCCAAAATAGATTTGATTTTATTAGCACTATTTTTTAAACATCATAGAATCAGTGTTAAACAGCTGAGTTTTCTACATAGTAGATATACAAAAACTTTTAATAGTTTTCTGCACCTAGTATCTCCAATCAATAGTAAAAAAGCATACATTAGCTTTAATGAGTTGAGTATTGTAAGTGTTGAAAATGTGTGCTACTGATATTCCTATTTGACACTAGAAATTTGAATGTCCTCACATTTACACTCGGAAAAGGAAATCTCACTTTGATATATAATGAGAACTTAATTCACTTAATTATATCAGAAAGGCGACACTATAGCAAGTTAAAAAAGATTAAGTAATTAATTAGCTACTAATTTCTTAAAGTTGAATTGCTTGTACATTTACCTGTCGTCTTCTATGGTAACAAAATTCCAAAATGGATTTATTTTTTAAAAGGCTTGAGAGTAGGTAGGGTGATTTATGAATTAAACAGTGACTATCTGGATAAATATAAGATGTCAATCACAGTGACTCAATGAGCATTATTTTAAAAAGCTAGTTTCAAAAAGAAAGGAAAAGAAAAATTAGATTTTATCTTAAAAGACTACTTACGAGATTAAGAAATGTATACATTTGCAGTTGAGTGTTCAACGATACATTCTTAGGGAAATGGTCTCCGAAACTGTCTACAATTAAGAATAGAACAGTAAGAAAGAAGAAAAAAGGATGGCTTACTGTCTCGGCGAGGTAGTGCAGGATGCCTTTTTTGAATCAAGAGAGCTCAGGGTTTGCAAAACACCATCATTTTTTCCAGTGGCTAGGACACCTTCCTGCTCAGCATGGATTAGGGTGAAGGCCTGTATCACACCTTCTCCCTCCATGTGGGCGCCCAGATTTGGCTGTGGTTCTGGGCTCTCTAATATCAGGTCATCTTCGCTGATGGAGACCGTGAGGCTGCTGCTGCTACTGCTCCTACTTCCCTCCTCCTGCTTTTCCTGCACATGCTCCAAGGGCCTGCACGACTCTGTGTCCCTGTGGGTGAGGAGACCTGCACGGGGGACACCACACAGATCAATGGTCACTAATGTCACAGAGAATCAAGGTAACACAGAGCAGAACGACCCCTCAATTAAGAACACATAGAAACAATCCACAGTTAATCATAGGAGTTAAAAATTCGAAACTGTTTTAATTTTAATAAGAAAACTAAAAATGTGTGGTGCTCGAGATCAAGTAGAGGGCCATGTGTATGTTAAGCACATAATGCTCTACTACTAAGCCACACTCCCAGCCCTCAAAAATACTTAATGTTTTTTAAAAATCATTGAGTTAAAAAATCAGCAAATTCACTTTCAAAACAATGTCCAGGTACACACTATAAAGAACTCATCAGAATGTAATTTATTGACAACATTACCGTTTGGGTTCTTAACGAAAGAGATAAAATGGGGTATATTTTGTCCATCCTTAAGATTACTCCCCACCCAGAAAAAATAAATACCAACAAAAACCAGCAAGTGAGCACTGCCTCTTATCCCACCTGGGGAAGCGGCCCCAGCAGAACACATCTCTGGAGACCTCTTATTTTCAGATGTACAGTGCTTGGAAACTGATAGGGCAGAGACAGGCAGGTTGGCGCTTTCTTCCTCAACTTCGATATGCTCTTGTGTCAGTCTTTCCCCCTCTGATCCCTCTGATCTGCTGCAACTGTCACACTTTAAATCACTGGTTCTGTTCTTGGGATTTAATCTTTGCTGTGGCAAGGAATGGAGTTCCGCGGACTTTCTGCCTTCAGATAAATTACTCTCGCTGTGCCTTGGGCTGCTTCCTATCTCCAGGCAATGAGTTTGTTCCTCCTCAGACAGTGCCTGGGCTGTGACTGGCGTCTTCTCACCATTCTGAAGAGATGTCTTGCCATCTACTTTGTCAGACTTAGTTAAGCACTGCATGTCACTAGGAGTTTGTACTACACAGCTGTCTGTCACTCTGCTGCTTGGGGCTGTCTGTCGGTATGAATGTGGGTTAGGAATTGAGAAGTTCTTTGTGGGCTGGGCAGATTCCTGCTCTGTGCTGAAATCGCCAAAGCTTGAGAGGGTTGACATTTGGAGGCCCATAAAGATTGTTGCTGGTTGATACAACCCTCTTGACATGGACGTACTGGAGTTAATTCCGGCTGGTACTGCAATCTGCAATGAGAAGTGTAAGTTAAGCATAGTGCACAGAAACAATGAGCTTGCTTTCAGAAATGGAGGGAGATAAGGGAAGTATGGCCATGCAGGTCACCATTTACCATCTTTTATGAAATGCATGTCTTTCCACACAACAAATGAGCAAAAATTATACAGTCCATACTACTTAATTTTAGTAACAGTGCTGATTCATAAAGCAATTATGGCCAGAGAATATGGAATGTATAATTTTGAAAAAGAAAAGCACATACTTAACTGAACTGCATGCTTACCAAACCAAAACAAAAAAGCCGTGAGTTCTAAGAGTTCTTCAGAGTTCAGATTTAATGAACTTGATCAAAAAATAGAGAAAGAAAAGAAAAGAAAAGAGAAAAGGGAGGGGCATACAAAGAACTACTGGAGGTTTCAAAATTATTTCCAGCATTACATGTACTATAAATACTTCCAACAATCATCCTTCAGGATGGCATTAAAATATACTGCATGGGGCTGGGGATTTAGCTCAGCGGCAAAAGTGCCTGCCTGGCAAGCACAAGGTCGTGAGTTCAGTTCCCGGTACCGGAGAAAAAAAAAAAACCAAAAAAAAAACCAAAAAAATATACTGCAACCTCCACAAAATACTTGTAACTTATAGCTAAACTATAAGTAACATCAGTTTTTAAAAAATATCTTCAAGTAACTTTGTTTTATTGTTTTTTTTAGAAAGTCTCATTATGCAGTTCAGGCCAGGCTTGAACTCACCTGAACTCAGGGTGGCCTCAAATTTGTGACCCTCCCAAGTGCTAGGATTACAGGTGTGTACCACCATGCCTAGCTTCAAGCATTTCAAATTTACTGGCAAAAGTGAACAGTTTCTTACTGAGAAGGGCACAGAGATTGAGACAGAAGCAGAGGGATTGGCTCAGTGGCTTGATCAAGGATACATAGTGGGAAGCAAAACCAGAAATAATAAGCCTAAAGTGTTCAGAAAATTAAGTGTTTTTCTTCAAAAGGGACAAAAGCACTTCCACACATATGAACATTTATTTCAGAGAGACATATGGGATAGATGGGAGATGTGTTTGAAACCTCCAGTAGTTCTTTGTATGCCCCTCCCTTTTCTCTTTTCTTTTCTTTTCTTTCTCTATTTTTTTAGAGGGTTTTTTTTTAGAGGATTCCCACAAAGACCAGTGCCTTAGCATAGCAAGTTCATCACCCGGGTGGAGGCCCAGGATGAGCTGAAGAAACACTGCTAATGACTGAGGGTGGCCTGGTGAGCAGAACACACCAGCAACCCAAGATGAATGTGGGTGCCAGGAACATCCTTGCTTACTCGGCCATGCTAGGACACAGGGTGATACTACAAGTGTCCTTTTCTATCTGCACTGTGCTGCTGCTATGCAAGCTGATTCCACAAGCAGTTGTAGGTTTAGAGTCTGTGCCCAAGCTTCTTGCTCTCATCAGCTACCAGCAACACTCTGGAGCTAAAGCCCACACTTAGTGTCTGGAGACTGGTCTTATCTACACAGGTGCTGCTGCTGGAGCCCATGCCCCTCCTTCCTGTGTAGAGTCTGTGTGGCCAATGCCATGCCTTCCTGAGCTGCAAAGCTGCTGAGCTCATCACACAAATGGACACCACTTTTCCCAGGCAGACAGGAAGAACCAATGTGTCTTAGCCCAGCATTACCATACAAGCTGATCAAATGAGTAGCCAGTGCTATTTCTACACAGAGTCCATGCTATTCATGGTGGTCCCCAGAAGGACCCTGGGGCTAGAAATGCTTGGGTTTTACACCCCTTTTCCTAGGTTAAGGCAGGCTATAAACAGAGGTGTCATATGCTGAGTGGCTCAGCATCAAATCATCTGGAGTTTGCAGATGTTCTGGAGTTAGCAGTTCTGGGTGTTCCCAGTCATTCAGCAGCAGTGCATGTGTGTTGCTCATAACATAGGTGTGTGGTGACGTTTCAAGATGGAGGTGCTTATGCCAAGGTACTGGTAACATTATGCTATGTTAAGACACTCATCACATCCTGTCTGGTCATTGGCTGATCACTGAGTCAACTAGACAGTAACTTTAGTGACCACACATGAAGAAGAATATGGACTTTATACAATGAGTAATGAGTTCAAAAAGTCACCAAATAACACCAAGACAAACAACAGCAACACATTCAGTGAGAGGAGAATCTGATCATAGAGTTAACACATTTTATTATGTAAAATGTATAAATTTCAACAAAAAATTATGAAAAATTACAAGAAACTTTGACTTCTATTCACAAAGGGAAAAAAAAGCAGCAAGAGAAACTTTCCATGGGGAAACCCAGGTACTGAATATAGCAGACAAAGACATTGAATTAGCTGTACTAAATATGCACAAAGATTTAAAGGAAATTGCATCTTTGAAAGTAATGCAAAGTATAGGAATTATGTCCATGTGCAGTCCATCAATAAAGACATAGAGGCTGGGTTGTGTCTCAGTGGTAAAAGGTCTGCCTAGCATGCATGAGTCCCGGGGTTCCATCCCCAGCACTGCAAGAAACAAAAGAACAAGAGACAGAAATTATTGAAAAAGAAAATAGAGCCAGCTTGCTTTGGCAGCACACAGACATTCCTTGTTTAACAGCCAAGTTAAATTCCTACAACTGGGTCATTAAATGAGTTGGGTCACTGAAGAAGGAACTGTATGTAGTGTGTACATTACAATATTCAAAACAAAGCAATGGTTAAAGGAAACTCCAACTTGATGACTTTGCTTTTATTTGCACAATTCTTACATGTGGTACTGTGAAGTATAACAGAACATAATACTATAATACTGTACAGTACAATTAGCAAAATTACAGTACTGTATAAACAAGATAGGTTATACAACAAAAGACATTGAGGCTCTATAAACAAGATGTACAGAACTGCACACACACACACACACACACACACACACACACACACACACAAAGACAGGTCATAAGTCCAAGCAGCAGGTAGTAAGTCCGAGCAGTCGATAAACAGGTAGGTTGTTAAATGAGGAATAACTGTACAGAAATGATGCTCTCATATCCATGAGAACTTAAGTAGGATCAAAGGTCATTTCTTATCAGAAACCATGCCTGCTCAGCAGGCACTGGGAAGACATACTAAACATGTTGAAAGAATGACTATCAACCAGGAATTGTATATCTACTGAAAGTTGCCTTTAAAAATGACGGAGAAATTAAGACATTCCTAGATAAAGAATGAGAGAATGAGTTTATGAGTACCATACCTGTCATGCAAGAAATACTACAGAGAAGAAATACTTCAGGCTGAAATGAAAAGCCACTTCAGAGTAGCTCAAATCCACACTGAGGCCAGCTGGGCTACATAGTGAGCTTAAGGCCATCTTGGGCTACATAAGTGAGAACCGAGCTCAAAAACAAACAAAACAAAAAAGAATAAATGGGCAGAATCCTCTTGGAAAAGGATTTGAGCACCAAGAAGAGTCCTAACCCAGTTGTTGTCTTTGATTAAGTAATTCTGCATGGAAATCCACCTTTAGGAATTAAGCCTAACAGGAAAAAAAATAGCTGTATAGACAAATGAGTTCATTTACAGTGTTACATACAATCAGGAAGAGTTACAACAACCTGTATGACTGCAAAAATAAGGCAAATGAATGTTACAAATGAAAGAAAGGTCTGGATATGGTAATGAAAACAGGAAAACAAAACAGACCTATGAAAAGATAAATCAAAACACAGACCTTTCTTGGACGGGAGATGTGGCTCAGTGGTAGAGCTCTTGCCTTGCATACACAAGACCTTGGGTTCAATCTCCAACACCACAAAAAGAAAGAGAGAGAGAGAGAGAGAGAGAGAGAAAGGAAGGAAGGAAAGAAGGAAGGAGGGAATGAAGGCAGGCAGGAAGGAAGGGAGAGGTGGGTAGGGTGGGTGGGCAGGAGAAAGGGAGGACAGGAAAAAGAAGTTCACCAAAATATGTCCATGTAAGAGTATGTCAGGAATAAGAATATTGCTATTCTTGTCTGTTCTTTTTTCTAATTTAATAGATTCAACTTGATTTAAGCCTTTCAAACTTGTTTTTACTGAGATATAATCCACACATCATAAAACACATCTTTTTAAAAAGTATTTGCTATGTCTCAGAATTGCACAGCCAACACTACAATCAGTTTGAACTTTATTATCCCAAAAGGAAACCACTCCCTATCTTCCCCCATCAGTTCCCAGGCCTGGGCAACCACTGACTCCCTCTGTAGATTTCCCCATTCTGGATTTTACATAAGTCACAACACACAGCTTTGGTGACTGGTTCCATTTATTCAGAATAATGTTCTCAAGATGTATTCATTTTGAGCCTATGTCAGTGCTTTGTTCCTTTTAGTAGCTGACACGCAAGGTGTCTCTACTTCTTGCCTATTGTGAATAACGCCGTTATGAGCATCTGTAAAAGATTGTTGTGTGCATGTTTTCCCTCTCAAACATCTATCTAAGTATGGAATTGCTGTGTCATATAGTAACAACATGTTTAACTTCTTCAGGAACTGTCACACTGTTTTCCAAAGTGGTGGCACTATTTTATATTCTCATCAAAAATTATATAAACTTAAAAGTAGTGTGAGTTCACAAACATGCATATATTAACACCCTAGACCAAAACAAATTTAAGAAAAAAGGAAAAAGGAAAAACATAGAAAATGAAACAAGACTCCAGACCAGTTTCCTGGGATCCAAACCTTTGTTCTACCACTTACCAGTTATGTGAGCTGGAGACAAGTCATGTAACTTCTCTAAGCACCCCTTCCTTAATGTGTAAGATGAATGTAAAAATAGTTCCTATTTTGTAAAGAGTTGTAATGGACATGTGCGTACATGCACACTACAGCATGCTGTAAGGCAGGACAGAGAACTCTACGTGACAGCCCACCCTCTCCTCCTCCACCTGCTGTCCAGTGCAGCAGGGAGGGCTAGGCCCAGACCTGGACCTCATCATGCTGTACATGCCCAGGGTCTCCAAGAGCTCTTGTCTCTTGGCTGGTGTGCAGCAGCCAGAATGCAGAGTCCGGTGCAATTGCAGGTGGCTGAGATAGAGGGGAAGGACCTTCCTCTCCTTCCCTGGGGCAGGTCTCCTTTGAGGCCTGTTCTGCAGTCTTCCGAAGTTCCCAGGGGCTTGGGCGCCAGGTGATCAATGTTGCATTCTCATGGGCCGCTTTCCCCTCTTTATGTCACTTTCCTCACTCGCTTGTTCGCTCATTCCTCAGCTGTGCTTCTCTGGACCACCTCCCAACCAAGTGACAGCATGTACACAAATCCTTGTGCTAGAATGGACTTCTGGGGGATTCCAGCTAAGTCATCTGCTCTTTAAGCAGGGCACCAGTGCTAGGACTTCCTTGTCCCTCAGTGATATTGACCTCCACCAAGTTTCTGCTATACCACCTGTCTATCCCTTTACCCTTGGAGAGGACCTGGGCCTAGGTGGCTGCCCTGGTCTGGCAAGCACTGCTCAGATTCTGAGAGCAGCAGTTCATATGCAGGCAGGGGTCATTGCCCACTGTCACCACTAAGTACTGCAAGTACTGCAAGCATGCAGGGAGGTGACACTGGAAGCAGGTGGGGAAGGTTACAGCAGCGCAGGTGACACTGCTCCAGCAGCCTCCAGTCCTGTGATGAGATCTCCTGGCCTCCCTGGTTCTCAGTCCTGGCAGGGTGCTGCCAGTCCCTTCTGCTTCTACTGGAAAATAGTTTACAATACAACAGTTCAAAAAAACCTCAGAGCCCCCATGGGAAAATGGAAACTCTCATCCACAAATGCCTAGTACATATGTTTTGGTGTGTGTTTTACACATATTCTCTAGTCATTGCTTATACAACACGACTAAGCAAGCAGACAGACATGTCTAAAAATGGAATCAGGGATCATACCAAAATAAAAATGGCAATATATAATAGAGGGAAAGGACTAAGACAGTAAAACTGGTGAGGATTCACACAGGGCCTGAATTTTATTTTTTTGTTGTCATTTTTTTAAAAGTTTACTAAGTAAAGTAAGAGTTGAAACAAGCTGAGAGAGCGAGCAGACTAGTTTTCTACCCTTTGTGAGAACACAACCCTAGATGCTTGCACACAGTGGATGCCTTAATGCAGAACTGAGCCAAGGTTTTACATGAAAAACACAACCACCACCTACCTGATGACTCCTCTTGACACTGAAATTACTATATAGGGTACAACCACACTTCCAGTACTTGCTTTACAACCATTTTTTAAAGCTATCTTTTTATGATTCAGAATTCTGACTTGATGAAGCTTCTCCCTTCCGTGAGTCCCTGGCACAGGCACTGTGGAGCAACTCCTGCGTAGTTGGCCCCCACACCTCAGCTCCATGTATCCTTCCCAGTCTACCCTGAGCTGCACTGCCAGCCTCACCTCCTGCAGCTGCTCCCCTGGACCCAACTGCTCTGTGCACAAGTCCTTCGCCTGCCCACCACACATGTGCAAGTGTTAATCCTAGGAGGAGGCAGCTCTTCTTAGACTGAGCCTGCACTCCAAGTGCCAGGTCTTAGGATGCCCGCGTTGAAAGTCATTTCTACAATGTTCCCATTAAGCTCTTTAGATTTCTGCCAGATGGCATCTACACTCTGGACTTTCCAGCTTCTACTCCATTAGCCATCGCATTGCCTGTCTATACATCCTCATCAGCCAGAGCCTAATCCTCCTCTAACACCTCCTCCCCCAAAGTCTGGGTCACCCACTCATGGTGGAGAAAGTGGTCCTGGCTGTCCCCATGCAGCCACACCTGTCTGTAACCATCTCACATCACACACTCCTGTGCCCTAGAAAGAACAGTGCTTCCTTAGAAGCACCTTGAGGACAACAGTTGCCACATTCACAGAGGGGCCTATTGCGCTTCTCAAACAGAACAGCTGCTTAACAACTAGATCCTGAATTAGGAAAGTCCCTGGAAACAAACAACTTGGGGTAGAGATGAATTCATGTGGCTGGCCGAAGATGAGGTGCTCAGATTTCTGGTAACAAAGAGAACTCAAGTGATATGGAACTGCTCTGGAGTTAAGTCTAAAGTAAGGGTTAAGTCATGATTTTGTTGCAATATATTTATCTTTTAATTGACTGAAGATCAATGGAAAATTGGAAAAGGCAAGATACGAGTTTCTCAAAATGTTACTTAATTGATTCTTAGCTGGAGACAATAGTCAAAGCTTCCCAGAAGATAACACCTTTTAGAATAAGGGAAAACACTTCTAATTATTAAGTGAAACATTTTAAGGAATTGTCAGCAGTATATCTTGTGTCTCTATTTAAGTATGACTTAAAAGAACACTCCATAACCATATGCAAGGTAAGGAATCAGTAGTGCAAATAGAAAAAGAAAGTGTCCCATTTTACTTAAGTACCATTGATACCACTGTACTAACAATGTGTCTATCAGGAGTGGCACAGAAAGAACAAACCGGTTTATAGATTAAAAGCACGTCAATTATTTCATGACCAGATGTCAAACAGAAAAACCATATGGTTTAGAAGTCTATCACATCATCCCATACTGGGCCTACATCTAATGGTATATAGATCATTTATCATTAAAGGCCTTTTTATATAGGTCAAGGTTGCTGGGGCTTGGTGTTTTTTATCTTACAGTTTAAAGAATGCTCTAAATTCTAGTTTTTTTTAAACTTTCTAATCTATGAGAAAGAAAACTAAAACTTCCTATAAACTCAGATTAATGCCTGCTAATGCATGGAAGAAAGAAAAACTAAAACCTTCCTCCTACTATAAAAACAAAATAGTGTGGCCTCTGTTTCTTTTCTGATAAGAGTCTTAAATACCAAACAGTTAACTGCATAATAACATTTACTGGCAGCCAGGCAGCCTGCTTAGCAGATATATAAAGCAGGTAAAAGGAGAAAAAGTTAATTTCTTGGCTGAATGATTCCATCGGTAGCTATAGGGCAAACCTGAAAGTCTTTTAGTAAAGTAGCAGTTGATTCTTCTATCAATCTGTAGCACACACACTCTTCCAAGGAAAGCATTAAATATGAAAATCATATCCCGTTATCATCAGTTCCCAGCTTTCAGCCCAGTAAGCTTTTCTTAATGAATGCTGCAGCCTAAGGAACAAGCACGCTGCTGGCTTTTCTGAATAATGGAGTGATGCGAACATTTCTGCTTATTACAATATCGACCGGCTGAGGGGGTTTCACACATAGTCACAAGTGACTACTCTTGCCAGCATGCTCCAAGTTATTACAAGATGTTTTTAGACATTTCATCTAAAAGAGCTTTACTGCTTTTAGTGAAGAAAACATCTATGGTCTTGAACAGAATCATTTATATGGAGATAGGCGGGAGGATTAGAAGCCTGCATTACAGCAGATACATAGCAGAATTTATTTAAGTATTCCTTGCCAGTCTTTTTGTCTATTGCTTAGATGTGCAATCTTTCTTTCCACTTTCTCTGTGAAAAGGTTAAAATGTACAAAATTACACAGAAAAGAAAGAAGTCAAATGCTACATTTTGTTTACTTTTCATTTAAAACATTTCTCAAAGAAAGACGAAAAGTAGCTACAAAGCATTATTTAGAAAAACACAATCTTACCTACTAACAACACCGAGGTTTTCCTTTGGAATCTAAATTTTAACCCAAAAGTGACTGCCGTTCAGTAAATTTAATTAGACATTAAAGCAACACTCTATAAGCAAAAATCTTGAATCACTTAAGATTTAATCAAAACAATCTGTACAATAAGGTGATTTTATTAAAATATCTTAAAATATGAACATTCCAGAAATCACCTACCAACAGGAAGTTTATTATTTTAATTTATTACCTTTTCTCTGCCTTCATCTTTCAGTTCATCTTCTATTCCCAGACTATCTTTTGAGAATAGCTGCATCTTCTTAATTTGAGTCTCATATTCAATCTAAATAGAAACAAAGTTTGATTTTGTAGTAAATTTCATTACTACTAGAAAATGTCCATATCTTGCAGTATTTACAACATAAAAGGAAAAATGAAGCAGACAGTAAAAGCTGATATTGCCAAGAAATTCAACTTATCTTATACAATTTCATAAATAACACATAGCAAATGTTGAAATTTTATAAAACATTAGATATGCTGTTAAATAAAACATGGTTTGATGGACTTTTTAACATTTCATCTATTTACAGAATAAAATCTTGACATGGATATATACATATACAGTTTGACAATCATAAAGTTATTGTAACAATCCAGTTACTTGAATATGAAAGTAAAATATTAATGTTTTCTTTAAAAAGTTTTGTCCTAAAACAAAGGAAAAAAATCAGTCCTACTGACTTCTTGTTTATGTGCCATCCCCATAACCTAATCATCCTAATAGTCACAGCAATTGAGAGTACTATCCCCTAGATCATCAATTTAAAGCAGCTCCATTTTCTAGGAATAAAAATACTCTGTAGATATTCATCTGTACTATAAAAATCAACTTTACTTTGGAATTAAAAACTATATAAAGCTGTCTGGATCATTACCCCACTATAACTGATGAAAGTGCTCCAATCATAAAATGACCTTTTTCTTAAATGCAAGGCATAAAAAGCATTTTAATTCAGTACATTAGTAGTCAAAGCTTAAAAAGTCACTGATTGTGGTCCATTACAGAGAAGTACAGTATCAAAACATTTTCTAAATTAGGCAGTTATGCACTGCAACTAGATACACACCTATGGAATCATGGACTTAGGAAGCTGTTTCCTTAGCTTTCAGCTCGAATATGACACAGGCCTGGGTTTGTATTGACAAACGCACAAAATGCACAGGCAATAATAACCAAAACTGATGTGTTTCCCTCATAATATTTTAAAAGGTGTTATATGCTGCCCCATATATTAATAACAGGGATTTATTTTTCCTGTAGCAGTATGCTATTAACATGATGGAGGGCAGTAATGCTCTAAATAGATAATTAAAGTTTTAAAGGTCATGATAATAATGATAAAATAGAAAAGATGAAGACAAAGCAATTATGAAAACACAATTTACAACTCTCTGTTCTATATCTAGGTCTTTGAATTTAGAGATATTTCACTTTTAATTCTAAGAGTTTTAAGCAGGCATAATTTACAGATTCCATGAGAAATTGTCTTTAAAAAGTAATAGGAGATGGATTAGAATACATAATTAGAAGTTAAACAAACATTCTTTTTTCTATGACTACAAATGTTTTCTTTCGCTCTTTGAGATCGGTGGGCACTGTCCCTGATCTTATCACCTGGGGTCAAAGCCGTACCTTACAAAGACAGCACTTCCATGAAAGCAAAAGAGTTTTATTCAATTCATTTTGTTGCAGCAAAATGGAAGTGATAACCGCACAAGGGTCTTCTGAAGAACAGTAACAAAGGTATTTTCAAGAGCTCAATTTAGGATGTTTTCAACACATCTGAAAAAGTTACTGAACTACAGGTCTCTTTTCAAAATTACTGATGCAAAGAAAAACTATACACTGTATTTTGAAATGAGAATGGTACTCTTATAAATCAATACTGATACAAAGTAACTCTACATCACCTGGGTGACAGACTGACACCTAAAAGGGCTTTGATCTTTCTTTACTTTTCATTTTTACATATGACACTTGGTTATTACCCATCAAATCCATCCCGGAACATGGGTGAACAGGGGCTTTCAGCTGTGCTCTACAGTTCCCTGAGGCTTCCCAGTCCCACCTCCTTAAGGATTCAGTTACTTTTAAAAGTATTTTGAAAGTCTGTAAAATACTGTACAGATGACTCTTTCCAAGACTTCCCCTGCTAGAAATACATAAGTCAATGTCAGAGTACATGTCTTCTTTTCATCTCCATCTCCAACGGCTGGTCTTTCCCATGTTGCTCCTGACTTCTCCCATCGGGCCTCAGTGTTTCTTCTGTTTCCACACCAGGGCTTAGAATGCATCCCTTCATGCTGCTGCAGACTCCCAGCCCCGTTTTCTTCAGCCATGTGGCCTAGACTTTTCACAGTTAGACTTGCTCCCTTAGGGACTGTGTAACTCATACCCAGTAGCATGGCCTGGTACAGAGCTGCTCTACAACAATCCCCTCATCCTCTGCTCCAGCTGGGAAATCTGGTCTTGGGTGATAAACTGAGGGCACTGAGTCCAAGCATCTGGTAACTCACTGTGTCTGTTACTGTTTCCTTCATGGCACTGGTTTGATGCTATGCAACCAAACTGAAGAGACCGTTCCATTCACTTGCTCCATACACACACACATGCATTCTTTCAGCTCACTCACTGAGATCTATTAACGAGACGCAGGGCATGGGAAGGGGAGCGGCAGGTACCTGCAGATGCCTCAGGTCTCTGGCACCTCTCCATGCTCAGCACACACCCTCCCTGCATTCTGTCATGCTTACTTCCTCTGAGTCCTCATGCTCACACCCTCAGTGTCCCTTCTGTCTCAGTGCTGTTCTCCTGACCTTGCCACCACTGCCGTTTGCTATGCGAGTTTCCTTCTTTCCCTGGTGTTGGGATTGCACAGCAGACTGTCCGTTTCAGAACAGGGGAACCGCTGACATGAACAGACACTGAAGGTCGGCCAGCCTTGCCTTTCATATTATAGTTGAAGAAATGGGTGCAGGGTCACATGAATTGTCTGACTTGATTCCCAGGTGAATATAAGACATGTAACTCAGATTCACAGTCTTCTATTTTCCCTTCCCCTATTTTTTCCAATATACACACTTCCCCCTACATGGTGAACTTTCATCAAAAGTATAGAGAACATTTATTTATTCAACTAATAAATATTAATGAGTAAGGCACTCAGGTTGATAAAAATGGACTTTGCTACAGATTTTGTATGTCATAGTCTGAAGGTTATGCCCTGCCCACAGTGTCTGTCAAAATGCTTACTAGGAATGGGAATAACAGTTCAAACTATTTGTTCTCAAATCTTAGTACCTTATGGCATATATAACCTAATGACAGCATTTCTAAGGACAATCAGTCTTTACATAATGATATTATAACTTCAGAATGCCTCTGCTATTAAACCCAAATGCCTCTTGCAAAGGTATAACATAGGGCACTGGTGTGTAACCTATGGTACACGTGCCACAGCGGGTTATTTGTTATCACTGACAGCTCTAAATGGTTCACCATCACTGACATAGGGTATAATCAATACCAATTGTCAATACCACTGTTCATAGTCCATAAAAGACAAGACAAAAAATATGGAAGAATTAATTGTCTCTGGAGGGGTGGTTCCTCAGTGCTTCCTGAGTACTTACCGTGTGCCATATTGAGCACTGAAACTGGAAGACAAGGAGCTCACAGTGAAGGGGGAAGACAGACATGTAAACAGTTCCAATCCCACACAGGAAGTGCTTCCCCAGATAATGTGACACAGACCTAGAGCAGGGCAGGGAGGGGCCTGCTGGAGGGAGGGAAAGAGGAGATAATGCAGAGCTCTGGAGGAGATGCAAATTGTTCAGCAGGTTTGAAGTGCTGTGGGTGCGTGTGAGTGAGCAAGTGAGTGTGTGAGGAGAGCACGTGTGCAGGACAGGAAGATGTAGAATAGCAGTGGGAAGATAAGGAGTGGGAGACATAAAGGCTTTTGCGGGACAAAACGGCAGGAGTTGGGGATAGGCAAAGGCAGGAAGCCAGGAATAGGGAAGGGGGAGAGACACGAGGGACAGACAGAGATGAGGGGAGCAAGTGGGTAGGACAGGACAGGAAGAAGAGGAGCGGAGCAAATGTGCATGTCTGTTGTGTGTGACAGTGTGTATGTGTGTGTATGCATGTGTGTGAGGGGTGTGTTTATGCAGTTAGGGCTGGGACCAGGCAGAGACCAGCGTCTAGCCTTTGTTATGAAAGTGTGGGCAAGCACTTCCAGCCAAAACATAACCAGTGACAACGTGCCCAGCATTGGGACTCTGCACAAGGCACTGCTGCTGTGGGGGGCTATGCAGATGCTGGTGATGCTCTACACTTGTCCCATTGTGCTCTGGGTGCTCCAAATTCCACCATCAGAGTCTCTGTGCCTAAGACTCCTCAGGACCAGGGAGCTGCTCTGGCCACAGAGGGCCTGGTTAACCCCACCACCTGTGCCTCTGCCCACCAGTTCTTCATCCATGCCAGGCAGTGGCCGGGATACACAGCCCAGATGCTCCCAACCACTTGCCAGAGTTTCTCTGTGCAAGGAAGCAGGAGCGGCCAACTGCAGAAGGCAGCTTGGTGATACCTGCTGTGCCCCTCTCCACTTTGTCTCCCTGCCCAGCCGCCTGATGTTCCTTCTTCTCCCAGCTGAGTCCCTTCTTGGGGGCTGCTTTGGGGAAAACCCAATCTGTCTGAGATAAGACAAAGAGATTCTGGAAAAACGGATCTAGATGAGGACTACCTAGGGCTTGGACCTCTGCAGACAACAGCCAATGCCAGGTTCAGGGAGCAGAGCGAGAGAGGCCACGCTCCTCACTGGACTCTCGCTCATCCTTACACTCTGACACCGAGTTTATCAACTTCTTCATCCAATACTGACAAGTGGCAATACAGCCCTCCAGGCCCAATACTATATTTTCAAAACCACGTAACACATCAATATTCTTAAAAGCCCTGAAAATTGTCTTTGGTCTCCAAATAACACAGTATGTATGACTAGTAAAATCAGTTGAAACTCTGTTTTAGCTTTGATGCCCACCTTAAAAGATTTTAACAGTACATGCATAATAAGACGGGCCCAGCACATCTCCATAGAGGAGAGAGCTACTCAGCATAATTTGGGCAGAATCCCACTTCGCCCACACTGCCTCACTCGCATTCACTTTCTTGCCTCAGCAGGAGCTGCACTCTATCAGAAGGAAACAGCCCTGGCATTGCAGATGTACAGGCAGCACCCCACGGGCACCTCAGTCCTGAGATTTGCTTGGGGTCAGGCAACACAGAAGGCAAAGTTCAGACACCGGAATGGGGAACACTGGGAAGAGACAGTGGTTCTCACACCTACAGCCACACTCAACACTGGCACAAGAGGAAGTGGCACAGAACAATGAGAAGACTCAAAAGAGCAACTTCCCTATGCAGAACTCTGCGGAATCCACAGCATGGCCCACTGGGTTCTGATGCCATGGTCTGGGCTTGTGGGCACACAGCAAGCACAGAACTAAAGACTTGGAGGGGCCGTGACAGGACAGTTCTTCGTGCAACTCACGTCTTTCCCACTGTAGCTACCTGATCTACTCTTCTACGCCATAAGCAGACTGCTTTTAAGAGTTACTTCTTAACCAAAATTCTAAAAAGCAACATGTATATAGTATTTGAACCATATAGATGGGTCAAGCTTTTCCTATTTCTGTAAACAGTTTGTTAGTCTTTCTTTAAAATGATCCCCTATGGTGATGCTCTTTTGTAGCTGAATACACAAGTCCTAATTACATACAACAAATGCTCTCAATATAAAAGTATTTACAAAAGATGATTCTTCCTTTCAAACTCCTTGCTCCCACATTTGGCTTTAAGAAATCAATAATTAAATAAAGGGGGCTGGGGATTTAGTTCAGCGGCACAGCGTCTGCCTGGCAAGCACAAGGTCGTGAGTTCAATTCCCGGTACCAGAAAAAAAAAAAATTTAAATAAAGCCCCAATATGAAAATAACAGAAAATTTTCTATTATGTCCTCAAGCAAAATTTTGTGCTTTGTTCACCACTTTTATATTCTCTGTGAAATCCCTGAAAAGTGGTTTATAAGATAGTGACAACTGCTCTTGAACTCTAGGCATTCTACTTAAATACTAAGACAGAGAACTGGAGTGCTGTACCCAAAACTTGCTATGGCTCGAGCACAGCTAAATCTCAGCTTTTCAATATCAGAAAGCAACCACAGCTCTGGAGGTGAAAGGTTGATTCCATATTGGAGACATGGAAAATATAACACATCCCTGGAACATGTTCCTATGCAGAAAAGCAAAGAAGGCTCAGAAAAATGGAGTCATGACAAAAGGATATGGGAGTTAAAGAGATTCCTGTTATGCTTTGTAGCTAGATGTCCCCCCAAAGCCTCACACGAACATAGTTGGGGTTTTTCAGAGGTACCTGGATCTAGGGTACGTGAATATGGATTAAGGGTGTGTGATAACTAAATCAGTCCACTAATAAGTTTAGCATAATTCTGGGTGTAGATAATGGGAAGGCCCATCCTGGATGTGGGTGGCACCCACCAACAGGCTTATAGCCTGGATGAAATATAAAATGAAAGAGGGAAGCTGCTTTCTGCTTGCCACACCATGGACGGTTTCTCTTCTGCAATGCCTCTCTGCCATGCCACCCTGTCTTGGAGCCAGCTGACTATGAACTGAAACCTCTACAAACTGTGAGCTAAATAATGCACAAGGCCCTAGATTCTAACCCTAGCACCCTAAATGACAAGAAGACTTCCTATGAGCCAAGAACGAAAAATGGGAACAACAACAAAAAATACTATAGCTGATAACACACTGACTAAATAAAAATTAAATCCACTGTGATATTAAAAAAAAAGTAGGGGAAGAGAAGAAAATGGCTTTTGTTATAGAAGAAAGTCAGGACACAAAGCAGAAAATCGCCATTTCATAATTGCCACTGTAATAACTAATTCAGGTAAGGCTCATCAGTGGATCCTAGAACCACTAGGTAGAACGCCAGTGAGGAACACTGTATTCCAGTGATGCCAAACTATCACCCCATGGGTATTTACTAATTTACAGGCAGGGGGAACAGTATGACAGAGACATCTAGAGATCACCATTGTAAAAGGGGCTCACTCCAGGGCCCTCTGACAGCACGGCTGCTGTGGAGAGGCCAGTGGGAGTGCAGCCTTAGCTGTTATTATTTCCCTCCAAATTAACAGAAAAAAACCACAGTCCTCAGTTGTCACAGCCACATTTTCAAGGCTCAACAGCAGCTATAGTAGTAAATTGGTCAGCAAAGCATCACTACAGAATTCCCTGGGTGGTGCTGACTTAATTGCATTTCTAGTTTACAGGTGCCATCCCAGTAAATGGGATCTCAAACTCAGAACTGCCACACCTGGCCACCCCCTGCAAAATCTGTGTCATGGGGAATAAAAGGAAGAGTGGCAGGAGATGAAATCAGATTTTAAAACTAAAGGCAAAGCCTCCACGCTTGCCCTGATTTGTGGTAACTAAGTCCTGGAGGAGAGTGAGGTACCAACGGCACAGGCCTCGAAGAGCAGTTGCTCTGGGCTGCACAGCCCAGGAGTATGAGGGTGAACTCCCAGGACTACTACTATCCCTCAGCGCTCCCCCAAGGTACTGCTAGGCCAGAAGGGGAGAGCCCAGCCACAGAAAAAGGACCCTGTAAGAACAGAAGCAGTTTCTAGAGGCAACTCTACCGCTGCTCAAATTTGATCATTCCACCAACAAATACCAGGTTCAGACCGTGCCCCCGGGGCTGCCTAGTGACCCTTCCTGGGACACAGATTCTCCATTAACTCCTCAACTGTGGTAGCAATGTTAGGAAACACAATTTCAAGTTCTCTGGTCATATTTGGCCACACGGTGATTCAAAAGAAAGCTTATACTTAATGTTACATGCAACCACCTGAATTTTCATGACTGCCACTCTTCTGAAAATAGGTTTTTAGAAAACATAGTATAATACAAGGTGTTACCTTTAGTTCCTGAAGCTTCTCTGTACTCGTGGTAAAGTGTCCAACGTGAGCTTGGACACGCTCAAATTGATTTAAATATTCTTGGTTTCTAGTATGAGCCCTCTTTTCGGATTCACATATTTCCTTCAGGTATTTCTTTAGTTTTACATATTTCAGCTTAACTCTAGAAAGAAATAAAACTAGATTTTTTTAACAGTTGAGTTAAACTTGACAAACCTAAGAAGAATTTTCTTTAACAAAATTGTTAATAAGACAATAATGTCTAAGATATTTTACCCAGGCGACTAAAACCCAAAGGACAGAGTTCACAGACATTTTCAAAGAGACAAATTAATTAGCATCACTGAGGTGCCATTTGAGGTATATCACAGCAGAACACTCTCAAAAAACGTATACAAGATCACACAGTAACACTCACATGGTAAAGATTTATATGGATTTATTTCTCATAATAAAATGTGATTTCAGGAGCAGCATCTATGTAGCCACATTTAGATGCATAGCACATTGGCATTTTTTTTTATATGACAGACAACTTAAACCTGTAACAGACCTTAAACCTATAACACTAGGCCAACAATTTTCAAGAAACGATTGTGCTAGTAATTACGTGCTTTGATTGTGGTTACCTGTTACCATTTTTCTTTCTCAACAAGAATTTACACTGTTTTTGTTTTGCCTCATCTACATGTTAGACACAAACACAGAAATGGAGATAAACCTAACACAGGGCCTTTCATACTGAGGCACTTAGCAATGCTGGTGTCTGGTATCTGCTGAAAGAGGAACCATAGTAACCAAGCCTTCTCCATCCATATTCCACTTCCCTTCTCCACCCATTAACCTTCAAAGCTGGTCACACAAGTCAGACATTCACCCATCCGTGCAATCCAAGTATGGATACCAATCAGGTATAGTCAACAGGGAAAATAGTCGACTAAGTAAACACAGTGTGATGAAGGTTGTGCAGGAGACTGAAAGGCATTTTCATAGGCCAGGCAACCCTGACTTGGGGAAGGGGAAGTAGAGACCTTCCCAGTGGAAATATTTTTCACCTGAGGCCTGAAAAATGATAAAAGCTAAGCAAAATTGGAGAAAACAAGAATAAAGAGATAAGGGGAAAACTTCTGGGTAGGAGAAACCATATGCCAGAGAGTTTAAAGGCAATAAATAAGAATAATAGCAAGAATACTGATAAAAATACTACTCCTAAGAAGTTCTCAATTCTTCACTTGGGTCAGCACTGCTTGAAGGCTCAGTATGCATTAACTCACTGCATGTCTGTCCATAACTTTCATTATTCTCGATTGAAGTAACTGCCATAAGCCCACTTGGCTGAGAGCTGCTGAGTCTCAGACAGAATTGAAGTGCTGACCTATGTGCTTATGTGCTACACTCAAAAGAATGGTTGCACCTAAGAAACTGAAGTTTCAGGCAATGTAGAATTTTAGGGGGAAGATAGAAAGATGTATTGATGATGGAGAATCTGGTGGGCCATGGTGGGGATACCTCCAGGGCCCTAGTCCATCTCCTGCCACCTTCCTTCTGCCAGTCATTGCTGCAGCAGCCTGGTGGCACCAGCCTCAGCTCCCCACTGTCTCCTGCTCTCCCGGCATGGTCTCCCTTTGCTAGAAGCAGGGAATGAATGCCTGCGTGCAACTAGTTCACTCCACTGGGCCACCTTTACAGTGGGTAAGGGTGCTCAGCAGAGAGAGGGCAGTTGACTCTGCTCCTCTGAAGGTCTGCAGGAGCCAAACCAGGCAGCTCCCATTTCCTTCCTTCCAGCCTCACTCTCCAGCTATGTGACCACCTCCACAAGTTAACCACCACCTACACAAACCCTAGACTCAGACGCTGCCTTCTTGGGGAAAGAGCCTAGTTAGCATAAGGTACAGGAAGCTGCCCAACCACAGGCTGCATGAAGCCTACAGCCATCCTGGCCCTGTCAGCAGTGAGTTGCCACGGACATCCTCTGACTTGGGCTGACCCTAAGGCCAGGGCACCTCAAGATGGCTGTTTCTTGCCTCCTTTGGAGCTGCTAGGGCATATGGTTTCTACCTTGACTGGAAACATTAGAAGTACACTCATTTTAAACTAAAGGGTAATTCTGAAGATGAGGAAATAAACAGGCTTAATAGGTAATTTGGGTTTACAGTATTCTCATTTCTCTCTTTCTGGAGTATTTTCATTTCTCATTCTTGGTGCTCCATGCATAAATCACAATTTAATGCCATCATAGCCAGAAATTTTTCATATGAATGTTACAGGTAATGGAATACCTTTAGCTTAAGAATCAAGTTCAGTTTCTATAAAACAGAAATTAGGATATTAAAATCTGTTCTTAATATCATAGTAAGGGGCTGGGGATTTAGCTCAGCAGCAAAAGCGCTTGCCTGGCAAGCGCAAGGTCATGAGTTCGGTTCCTGGTACCGGAGAAACCCCCCCCCCCAAAAAAAATATCATAGTAAGTAACCAGGAAAGGTTAATATATATACTATCCATTACTGTACCTTTAATAATTTTAAAAGTCATTCTCATACATCTATAAAAAATAAGAAACCAGGTAACCCTGCCTATAGTAGTTTGTTCAAAGATCAACTATAATGAAAAAAATTTCTTGACAATGATTATATTAAATTATAGTAGCCAATTCAAATTATTACATATTAGAAATAAGAGAATGGTAAAAATATTCCAACTACAGAATTGAGAGCATGGTTTAAATTTGGTTCACATATGCAAGGTGCTTTGAAGACTGTCACTAGCACACTGCTTACCTGTATTTGTCAGACTGATTATACTCATAAAGTTCCTTTTCCAGGTCTAGTCTCTTCTTTTCACTGTAATCCAAAAAGAAATATTTCATAAATCATCATATTGATAAGTAATAAGCTGATGAATTTAGGCCATCATCTCTTTCAAAATCACATTCCTCCCCAAAAACTCCAAAAGACTTCTAAGCAAATTCAGTAGCATAGCTGGATACAAAGTCAACCCTCAAAAATCAATAAATAGCATTTCTGTATAAACACAACAAACTCACTGACAGAGAAATTAGGGAAACCACACCCTTCACAATAACATCCAAAAAAATAAAATACTTAGGAATCAATCTAACAAAGGGTAAAAGATCTATATACTGAAAATTACAGTAATCTGAAAAAACGAGATTGAAGAGGATATCAGAAAATGGAAAGATATCCCTTGTTCATGGATAGGAATAACAAACATTGTGAAAATGGCCATACTCCCAAAAATGTTATACAGATTTAATGCAATCCCAATCAAAATACTATGAGCATACCTCACAGAACTAGAGAAAACATTCCTGAAATTCATTTGGAAACATAAGAGACCTGGAATAGCAAAGGCAATCCTGGGCAACAAAGGCAAGGCAGGAGGCATCACAATCCCTGACTTGAAATTATACTACAGAGCTAGTATGATAAAATCAGCATGGTACTGGAAAAAAAAAAAAATCAGACCTGAGGATCAGTGGAACAGATTAGAAGATGCAGACACAATTATACACTCATCCACCTTATCTTTGACAAAGGAACCAAACACATTCACTGGAAGAAAGATAGCCTCTTTAATAAATGGTGCTGGAAAACCTGGAAAAACTGGCTCTCTACATGCCAAAGACTAAAACCAGACCCATGTCTATTACCATGCACTAAAGTCAAAATGGATCAAAGATCTAAATACTAAAACTGAAACAATAAATTTACTGGAAGAGAAAATAGGTAGGTAAGTGGATGCAACTTGAGACCATAGTCTTTAGTGAAATAAATCAAAATCACATGTGTAAACTGTATTATCTCCCAAGTGCGAGAAACTGAAAGGGTAAATAAGGTCTAGAATGTACAATAGATATTGTGAAATGGGAAATAATTGCTGAAAAGGACAAAGGAACTAGGAGGGCGGAAGGGGCAAGGAAGGAAAGAAAAGGTGAGAAAAATTCAAGCTAGCTATACTATTAGTGTCTCTTAGTACAATGAAAAGGAAGACTCGTGTTAATATTGATTAGAGAATTTTTTATGTGTATATCTTGTACTCTGAGTAAGTACTTTGATGATGACAATATGCAATGTATTAACTACTGTTATTCTCCTATTATTTTGTTATGAAATTGTTTTACTTTTCTTCAATAAAATAAAATATTAAAAAAATCACATGGTCTAAGAAGCAGAAAATGCCACATGCATTTGAACCGAAAACATAAAAACATCACTAGGGAAGTGAAAAACAAAACAGACCCCAATAGGAGGTAAAACCCCAAGATTCTCCAAGGACGGGGGAAATGCAGTGGGAAAGACTTGGATGCGTGTTCACCACTCAGCAGGCACTTCCAGAGCACCTGGGACAAGCTGGGTGCTGTTCTGGGCCTGGAGACCAAAGTGGTGAAGAAGCTGCAGCAGACCTCCCCTCAGGCAGGTGACCTTTCAGGGGAAGACAGACAAAAACAACATAAATCTGTAGAGTAAAATAGGGCCAGTTTCTCCAAGCTGGTGGCGTTCAAGTGGTGGGCCTATATACCAGCTTCCCCAGAGCCACACTGGACTAAAGACTGGTGGCTCGCTCTGCCCCCAGCCAGTGGCCTGGGCACAGCCAAAGTGTACCCCTGGCTTCCCTCTCATCTGATGAAGGTCAGGTCTCCTAACACTCCAGTCTCTCCTTTTATAACTCTGGAATGTTACTCTGCCCCTCTGCTACTAGCACTCAGGAGTAACCAGCCAACCAGTGATGTTCAGGTGAGTGCTGAGTGTGTTCAGGTGAAAGACCGAGGACCTCCAGAGTGGAAAGAATAAAGAGACACAGTCAGACGTAGGAGAAAGGGAACAAGGCAGCCAAGAGCTAGGGGAGCAGGGCAGGGCTATACATGGGAAGCCACGGTCCTAAGAAGATGCAGCCACGGAAGGCTCCATCTGCCACCTCCACTCAGTGGCAGCTCACCTCACTGAAGCCCAACTGTTTTTCTAAGTTAACATTAACTAAACGCCATAAGAGAAGCCACATCATTCCGAGAGAAAAACACTAAACAAGGACCGTGAGACAAAGATCAGGACTCTGGCAGAAGGTCATCTTGAGACGGCCTCCTGTAGAAAGTTCCCTTTGTGAATACTCTGTTTTTTCTGTTTTCCTTTATAGTGTTTTCCATAAAAAAAGAAAAAATTATCCCACTGGGGCACAGTGGTGCAGTCCTGTAATCCCAGAAATCTGGGAGGCTGAGGCAGGTGGATTGAAAGTTCAAGTCCAGCCTGGGCAACTCAGCGAGACCTGTCCCAGAAGAATAACAAGAAAGCCTGGGGATGTAGCCCAGTGCTAAGGTCTTGGGTTCAATCCCCAGTACTGAGGAAAAGAATCCCCCAAATCACTCTGAAGCTATAATACAAGTTAAGTAAGTTTCTGTCCTTAGCATAATATTAAATGGCAATTTCCATTTATCCAGAATTCTTTGATGGGTAAGTGAAATTGAACACCAAACACAGAACCTCTGCTTGAGGAACACAATCTATTTTTCACCGGGGAATGCCTCTGTTAAAAAGAGGAAAATAATCATAAAACCACATGTTTAACCAATAGCTTCCCACAGATGTTTACTTTCTTATTCGTAACTGTGAACTCAGAATAGAAATGAAGGAAACATGGTATAACTGCATCCACATTAGGAATTTTTATTAGTCATTCTTCCCTTGAAAGGTTTTATACTCAGTTGGGTGCTTCATTAACGAAGACTGGGCAGTGTGAGCAATTTGTCATTGAACTGCAGAGACAAACTTCAATGCACCATGACTTGTGTGCCAACACACCGCTTCGTCTCTGTAGTACTCTTGCCAGGAATGTGTGACTGGAGTCTGCTCTGAAGGAACCAAGAGATGGACCCAGCTTGCAAGTAACCATCTAGAATAAGGCTCAACTCTATGCAACTGTCAGAGCATGAAGAAAAAGGTAAGCCTGAGGAACTGTTCCAGACTACAGGACACTAAAGAAACATGGTACACAGGGGCTGGGGATTTAGCTCAGCGGCAAAAGCACCTGCCTGGCAAGTGCAAGGTCGTGAGTTCGGTTCCCGGTACCGGAGAAAAATCAAAAAAAAAAAAAAAAAAAGAAACATGGTACACAAAGTCTAATTGGGGTTCTGAGATGAGACCTTGGGCCAGAAAGAAAAAGAAACATGTTTAGGACAGTTGGAAATGTGACATGGGTCTGAAGACTGGTGTACCCAGACTTATCCTGCAAGGGGATCGTGTGTGAGCACATCCTTGTGAGACAGGAGGTAGGGTGTGGAAAGCGCGCTAGGGAAATAAGCAGGGCCTGTCATTTACAAGATCCCAGGACAGCACCAAGTGATTCTCAGGACCCTGTATATGGAACTTCTCATGGGTTCCCATGAGGTGTGAACAACACAGAAGGACACAGATACCAGGAGCCCGCTATCGTGACTCCTCTCATGGTAGTCCACCCAGTGTCTTCTAGACTAGGGTATACTATACTTTTATTTTTGCTCTTTCTCTTGTTTTGCCCATGCTTGCTCTACAGAGCCAATTTCTCCCTTACCACTTCACTCTTCACTTTTCAAATACACTTCTGGCACTGTTTTTGGCTTGTCTTGTTCAGTTCTTCATTTATGCCAAGAAGGACCTGGAATACCTTTAACTGGCAAACCATTTCTAAAGGAACTACCCAATAACATTTGTTTTATGGGAATAGTCACTAGAGATTTTAGGAGTAATGGAGTATTCTATCTACAATTCTCAAATGGGTCAGAAAAGGTTAACGGTGTCAGTAGAATAAATAAAAATGTAATAAAATAGTAGTAGTTGAGGAATCTGGATAAGGGGAATATTTGAGGTCTCTTTCCCACATTTATAACTTTCCTAAAGCTTGAACTTATTTTGAAATGATTTTCTAAATTAATCTATGACAATTTCTGAAAAAGAATCAAAGTCTCTTTGGAAATCCACATAGACAGAACAAGAATAAAGATCACATCTCCTCTCCATAAAGAACACCTACTTCATCAACAACCTCTGGCCCTCTACTCCTGGCAAAGTGGCCTTAATCTTGTCAACTCTACTACTAGTCCATTTCTAACCCCTTCATCCACACTGCAGCACTGTTAAGACTTTCAGCCTATTGCAAATGTAAGTCTTAAAACCTGATATTTACCCCAGTGAAAAAGGCAGGAGAAGGCTTGTGCATCCATACAAAATCTGTATTTCAGAACCTTTTAAACACACTACCTTGGATGCTTTTACCATCCATGTTTTCAATCATGTGCACTCCTTTATCAGGACCATGGCAAATCTGACACAGCTGGGTGCTCCTGAGATGGCTGAGTGTTCTCCTTTTAAGCCATTTATTATTCTGTTTTTTCCTCAATATCACAATTCTCCACTATCCTTGCCTTTACTCAACTAATATCTTGGTGTCAATTTCTAAACTATTACGATATCCACCTTGAATCAATATTGGCACTGAAAAAACAGGCCTTTAAGAGAGTTGTTTTTATATACAATAATTTTAAGAGCCAATTCCACTTACATGTTTCTACTATGCTTGTGGGCACTATATACACTACAAGTCACTCCATTAAATTCTTCAAGATTCAATTGTTGACTTTCAGCACAATGCAGAAAAAACACTGTATACCCACAGGAAAACATTCAGACTACAAAATCACATCTATGTGAGAAAACAGCTAAAATGACCCAAGCTCAAAACATGACAGTTACGAGGTCACAGTTATTAGACCAGCTAACATTTCAATGATTTTCTCTAAAAGGGCTAAGGAAAAGTGGGAAAGTATGTCTTGTTTTGTTTATTAAATTTCCCATTCCCCAGAAGTTTCCGGATTGATAAACCATCTTGACTGCTATGCAGATTGCAATCTTTGGAATGACTGGAATTTTTCAGACGTAGTGGTCCCTGTGGTCACCAGGATTGATTTTAATAAAAATCAAACAGGACATTCAAACAAGACACAACGATGTCCTTTGTGCATTGCTTTGCAAAATTACAGCTTTCAACTTTTTAAAACTATAAGGCCTATTACTCTCATAAAGAAAAAGAAACCGATACCTTACTTTACGTATTAGTCAAGTCCCCTCATTTCTGGAGCAGAACCAAGGTTCAAAAAGGCCAAAATGATCTGATCAAGGTCTCTCAACTGGTCATGGACTAGAACCTAGGTTTCCACATTTTCACTGCAGCTTTATCTTCATTTAAAGTTATTTGCCTCTATTTTGTGTGTACAACGCATTAATTAGAGTTAGTTATGGATTCTTAAAATGAAAAATGAATATACACAGCAACAGATTTTTACTTACTTAAAAATAAAACAAATCTCCAAATGCAGAAGCACGACTAGGCCATAAAATTTAATTCGAATTTCTTATATAATTTCAACAGCCTCACCTTGCTTAATAATTAAAGCAGTAAGTGTTAAACATAAAGTGGGTAATGATTACTCAGTTATTGTACCATAAGGACTATAAACAGCCAGGTGTTCCTAGCAGGCAAAGCATGAATAACTCACAATTAACCTAGTTTAAAAAGAATACCACTTAAATCAGTAACATTTTAATATCAGGTCCTTACCTAAGAGACACAATAACTGAAAGCCTAGGTTTGCTAAGCCACTCTTCAAACAGAACAGACAATAAGCCCCCAAACACTGTAAGCATCCTGAAACACACAGCCATGTCTTGTTCTTTAATTATCAGGGATGTGCTGACACTTAACATCCTCTTGGAAATATCATTAGGTCCACTTTTCCTGGTGGACTGGAAAATGGTTACTATTTAGTGACAATATGTGGCCACAGCTTTCTATGTAAGCCAGTCAGAGCTAGACACTAGCTGGTTGACTTTGGGGTTTCTTCCATAAATTTCACAAATATTTACCAATCACCTGCTCCACTATCAGTATTCTATCGTGAGCTAAAGATTGAGCTAGGTTTGGTTCCTAGTCTCCTAAAATTCTCAGTCTAGGCAAAGAGTAAGTCACTTTAACCCCCACAGAGAGAGCTTTGAAAAAGTTAGAGAGTGGGAAGGCTCTGCGGGGAATAATTTTCTTTTTTCAAGTTGGGAGCCGAAGAGGACCCTGGGGTAGGTGAATGGGAGTATGTCAGGAAGAAAACAGGACATGGAAAAGAAGATAAAATACGATACAAACAATTAAGGAGGCCTGTTGTAGACGCTCGAAAAATAACTGACAAAAATTATATCTACCATAAGATGAATGTAATTCCTCTTCAAAATCACTCACTTCTGCCTTTACCTTATACATAATTACTGCGTTGTTATCATTTTGGAATTGTCAAGACAGCTCTCCTGTTCAAAAGAATGATTTTGTAACTTTTTACGCTCATTAAGTGTTTCCTTTATCAAGAGATCCAAAAATCTATTTCTTTTCTTTTCAGCTAATGAGATGTCTAACTCCAATTAATCTGGCTGCTAAATAGGAGTTCCAACAACTTACCTTTCGTGTGCCTGTTTATGGTCAGCTGCTTTCTAATTCTTTCTCTGTATGAACTTTTAGATATAGCTGTTTTTAGGGCCCCATCTTTTATGAGTTAATAAAAGGCATCATGAACTCTAAGGAAGCTGAACCTCACTGGTTGGAAATTTCATCCCTTTTCTGCAAATCTAGCCAACCCCAACTACCCTAAAAATCATCCAAACGAACAACCAAACCACCACGCCTGCTGCATTTGAGTGAGGCATGGGTGACACACACACACTCTCGCCTGAGCTCCTGGACCTGTCATCTGGAAGCAGAGCAGCTGTCAAGGTGGGACAACAATCCGAAGAGAGCCAGGAGTGGGGGTGAACAGGGGACTGGAGAAAGTCACAGGGCTTGATGTTGAGTGACAGGCAGCAGAACTCCCACTCTCGCCTCTTGGCGAATTCGGGGACGTGGCTTTCCCCACCGCAGGGGAGTCCCAGCGCCTCCGCGCCACCTGAGCCCCGGGGACGAGGAAAGCCACAGGCCAGGCTCGGTCGGTCGGGGTGGCCCACGGTGGGGCGTGGAGAGAAACAGGGCGCCCCGAGGTGCCGCGCGGCGCCCGCTCCGCCCCGTTCCATCCCCCGTGGCGTACCTGTCGCGCAACCCTTGCTGGAGGCGGCCTATCCTCTCGTAGTACTCTGGGCTTGGCAGGGCAGCGGACGACGCGGGACCGCGGCGCATGCTGCCGCCCCGGGGCCAGCACCCTAGCGCCTGGCCTCAGTGCTGCTTATGGGCCTTGGTTGCCGCGGAGACCGCCCCAGCATGCACCTCGGTAAACACACCACGCTGCCTCCGGCTGGGGCGGGGCGGGGCGCCGTGGGAAGCGTGGCCAACTGCCGCGGAGGGGCGGGACAACATGTGGTGGCGGCAAGGCGGGACCACAGGGAGGCGGGGCACTGTGAAGGGGCGTGGCAAAGACGCTGAGGGGGCCGGAAGCTAGGGCGAGGCTGGCGGGGCGAGGCTGGCGGGGCGGGGCG